AACAGCAAGACGATATCGCCACTTAATTTCCGATAAGCCTCTCCAACATTTTACACTCACGGAAATTTTTTGACGTCAAGAGCCCCTGGAATCCCTCATAATATGATCTTTATCCAGGACAACACTGATCCTCGCCAATTGAATTAATGAAGCGAAAAAGATCACTATCAATCCATTTTACTATTCAGCAAAGCCCCTCATTTTTGTAGCGCTCAAAAATACACAACAATGGTCGAATAAGTTTATGGTTCAGAAAGAGCAGTAGCAGCCAAAGGGGATGCATCATCTTGATTCTCGAAACCCCACGGGGCCGTTACGCGTGATAGCACCAGCTAGTCGTATTGCTCCATACGACCATCCCCGGTGCGTTTTGGGTAACGATCTCTATTCAGGTCGCCGCAAATGATATACATCATAAAGTGGGTCGGGCGCTATGTATTCAAGCTACAAAAGACCGTGGCGGCGCGTTTTCGAGGACCTCCAGAGCTCGAGTCTACAATGGTTGCCATCTCTACCCACCTTAAGCTTGCTTTCGCATGGATCACCTACACAAACACCCTGTCTGTGGATAAAATGCGGCCTTTAATGTCAGACAACTTCATCAGTCGCCTTCGACCCGCAAGCTTGGGCTATGAACCTGTCGGAAAGGAACCGTACTTGGTGCGACTGGCGGGTGCTCCGATCAAGAATTTTAACGTGAGGGTTCTTCCTCATTCCAGTCAGCCGTAATGTTTACTAAGGACGGTCTAGATTTCATTGCCTCGAACCGAAGACATCGTTGAAGGAAAGGACGCGATTCAATTCTACGTTGGTATTCCAATCTCCCTACGCGATCAAGACAATTAACGTGTTAGACAGACTACTGCTGATGGGAAGACATCTCATGGATTCAGATGGAAGAACGAATACCAATTTAGCTTCACCTTCGAGGGAGACAAGATTCTCAGCGTGACGGAGTTTACTGACCCCACCATCATTGTCGATCTCCTTGGCAAGGAAGCTACGGCAGCGGAGGCAGAACTAAACTGTAAGGGGCAGGCGTGAATAGTTGTCGGACATTTCGATATTTGTATCTACCACTACCCATCTTAATTTATCTTGATCTTTATCACTTTATCCTCACACTCGACAGCGTTAAATTCAATTCATATATAAACGGCTAAAGTGGGAGTGTACTAATACTGAGAAATTTCATTTCAGTAGGAACGTATTACACTTCAACGATCAGCTTTGATGATTTCGGCTGCCCGTTCAGCAACCATATACGCAACTAAAAATAGCATAAGATTATACCACTGACATTCATCAGGTTATCACTTACGCGAAACAGTATGTATTCCAGGGATGTTCGCAATAACCGATAGATCGGCTACTCGAACGTTTGAGGTCCCATACTAAATCAGATCAATTAGCTACACGTTCAAACCTCGCCGTGGGTTGTAAAGCTGAAATTTTTACCACGACGAGAGACGGGTCGACCACACCCCCTTGTGAACGAGGCGTCATAGCTGATGTGCCAACGAAGTGGTGTCTGTTGGTGGTTTAATGGTTAAGATTATGGTACAATCTAAGGTGAGATATAGTTTACTCGGATTGGGATCGCGTATTGACATCGTTCAAGAAGTCAGCCTCCGTTTGAACGGAACTCCCGGGTACGACCGGTCCTATATGAATATAAATCAACCGAAATCTAGTATGAGATTAGAAAATTGTGCCTTCAATTATGCTCTTGAGGGGTTCCGTATTTACGATTGTTCGAGTGTATTCCACAGCCTTTGCAAAGACGAACTAGAGTGTTGGTTCTTAATAAAGCACAAAGGAAAATTATCGACGACTGGTCGTATACCTTGTCATGAGGAGAATTTAAACTTTTTTTGCATAAGTGCTGTGATCAGGAGATGGGTCAAAGGACATACTATCTTGGGTCAACGATCGGAAGGTCCAGCGGGTTTGTGGAATTGATATGCTGGGGGGTCGATGTCAGCAACCCCCAATGTTTCGAGTACAGGTAGGGAGTATACCACGAATCCACGAGAGAGTGGTTTCAAGAGGATGATCCTATCAAAGGTAAGAGTTGAAACATTATTTGAGTCAGCCGCTATATTCTGCAGGATAAGAAGCTCAGTTGAGGATTCACATGGTAAGACTATAAGCGCACCCAAGCAAATTCCATTTGTGGGACGTCTGTAGTTTCAATCATTTTCTTCATGATCCTAAACTGAGGTTCCGATAGTCCCGCCGGGGGTCCAGACAACATCTTTCTCGAGCGTTCAAGATCTATAGCATCCAGATATTTATTGAAGGGCTGGACATTGATAATGGCTGAACGGATCGCGTTTCCAGCTTCGACAATGTGATTAGCTGTTTAAAAGGCAAAAATAATTCACGAAGGTACCATCAACAGTGCCATTTTTGACAAGATATGAGGCACTGGTAATTGGTTCTTCACCCATACGAAATTCACTTACAAGCTTTGAGATGAGGTTATAAAGACTCACGGTTGCATAAGTTCGCCCCAACACCTGGGAGATCGATCCTCGTCTCGATTCCAACACTGAGTGGCATTCACGTCGGTGACGTTAATTTTCAATTAGGTAATACCTTTGTAGTATGCTCGAGTCACCTACTCCGCTGAGCTCTAAGATTTTTGGGGTGTTCAGCGCACTCCCACTGATAATGACATTTTTGGCGTTCTAGAGGGTTGAAGATTATTTGTACTTATCTCAGTTAAGAACCACCTGCAACTCACAATTATTTTAGATTTTGGACCTCCAGCTTCCTTCAAATCCAGATATTCGACTCCGGTAGCAGTTAGGAGGCCACTTTTTGTCTTCTCTGGAGCCCACAGGATTCTTGATACATGGCTATTCGTCATGACGAATAAGTTGGTGCGGTTGGCAACAGGCAAATCTATCGGAGACAGGTTATTTTGTACCGAGGAAGGATAGGAAGAGGCGTACAGTAGCCAGAAACGGCATATGATCTGGTACTTGTATCAGGCAAGGCTGTCTAGAGGATATCGAATGTCAAGCTAACAATTGCGAATGATCGCAAAATATTATACCAGGAAGTCCCAACTAGCACCATTATGATTTCCGCCATTGGGGTCAGGATTGATTTCATGGCCGAGAGCACGAAGCGTCGGGACAGCAAACTCGGGGAAGAATCTGCATTGAACCAACTTTACTGGAATGTGTGATACAGAGAGAATGGATATGTACCTTGATACATTCTGTGCTTGAATTGACAATGCTACAGGACCGGAAAAGCCATGAAAGTCGCGGTTGAACGTGAGGCCCAAGGCTTGTATTTCTGCCACAGTAGGTGGAAAGAAATGTTCACTCTATAGGGTTGCTAGATCAGAGATATATAAATGGAAATCGTACGTGAAGAGACGCGCTTTTTTGACTGCAGAAAACATAGAGTTCCAGTTCCAGCCAGTCGCACCTAAAGTCTCTAAAGCGTCGTACTCTATCTTATTCCCACTACTGGGATGAGCAAAGAAGCGCTTGATAAGTGAAATGGGCTGTAGCACTCACCGAAGGTACATTCCCGAATTAATCGCTGAACCACCACTGAGCGATGTAAGAGTGTATATAAAAAAGAAAGGGCAAATACGAAAGTCACCCTAAAACTCGCGCTTGGACCTGGTCTTGAACCCGATTACCGGCGCCTGCTTGTGGGACGGTGACAAACTGCCAATCGTTGGCTGTGCCAAAGTTTCCACGATTCAGACGCAAGTCCGTAATATTTGGGCTAGGATGTATGCGATGAGGGCAGGGATAGAATCATTTCAAAGCTACCGAGGTCGTACTTCCCAATGCCACTAATTCAAATAGAATTATTTTCTCACATATTCCAAAGTTCAAACACCCGCACCTTTCACCTGCTTCCAGGACAACAACGGTCTTGGATGGATCCTCTGATAACCTTACTGCCAGCGGTAGTCCAGTGGCACCTCCACCCGCAATGACGTAGTCAACTGCATCAGGCAATGCAATACACAGAGGAGCTAAAACCAAGGCGACTAGGGCCGTGAGATAGACCATCGCTAATATCGAGAGTGATGATTACTCGTTGTCAATACAGTCGAAGGTCGATCGAGGCTCATCCGCACCACGTCGTCCTTTATATACGACTTATTGTGTCTCACGCACACGGCCGTGTCGAAGTTGTGGGTCCCCAAGACCCAAAAAGAACTCGCTTAGGAGGGTTTTGGCGGGCAGGCATGGGTTGCATTTTCGTTTTCGGACCGGTGTTCGACCGCCCAAACTCCTGGGTTCGTGCAAAACGGCCGAACCCTCGGGGCACAGCTCAAAGAATGCCTAATAATAAACCGACAATGTTGATAGATGCCCCATGTTGAATATGGAAACGACCTAATTCTTTACTACTTCCCTCCTCCCGATTTCGTCGGTTGCGGAGTGAAAAAAAAAGGAACAGGTTGAGTTGGAGACGTTGACTCAGAGACAAGTCTTTACATGTACTCGTGCTTTTTACAATTAATTGCTACAATGAACTTTCCAAAATGCTGGGTCAGCCACCGGCTTCTGCCGGATATTCTCATCTTATCTCAGTGTACTACCTGAATCTGTAGGAACGTAAATCCTTGCAAAAGGTAATTGAAAATTCCGGGGTCCTGTCTCTCCACAAATGAACAATATCAGATTTTGCCTTGTGCTGCAAGGCTTAGTTGCAAGGAAATGATCCAGACCTGTAGCCCCCATTAAAAGAAGGAGCCAACTTATTTAGGATACCAGTCTTATCTTCCATGTGGTACGCACTAAACTCTTAAAAATAAAGCACTCATTGGAAATATATGGTTATTGCAGATCTTCAGCATCAGGACCTAAAAATACCAAGACTCTGCTTTGTTCTCTTATAAAAGCAGTATTCATAATTCTGAATAAAAAAAATACTATCCAAAGTCGCAAAATATATCATTGATTAAAATAAAAAAAAGGAATACATTGAATCAAATTGATTATCCAATTCGAGAATTCGGGTACGGGGAATCGAACCCCGAGCTGCCGCGCTCAGTATACGGAAATTATATTCGTGAAAGGCGGCAATGTTAGCCGTTACACCATACCCGAGCGTATTTGAGTATCCTCTCTTGTTTCCGACGTTTACGCACGCTGGGTCTGGGTGATTATTTGGTGAAACGATTCGACATTCGTCTTCTCGTTCTTGGGTCCGTCCTGTTTTTCTCTTTAGCGCGAGTGTTGGGTTGTGTGGTGATTTTGACAAGAGTCCTGGGCATTATGCCAACAAAACCGGGCCAACTACCCAGACCTCGTCGATGATCGCGGTCACATGCCCATGAGCAAATTCTCCTTCCTGGAGTGATCGAAGAATAGCAAGAAGGAATTAGTCGTCATAACACCGTTCGGCGAAGCCGGGCTATTCTTAGCGGTATTGATAGGAATGCACATGACGTCGTCGTTTCGATTAGTGGGTGAGGGTTCGAGTTCTATTTGGGGTGCCCCGGGGTTGGGTGGGTGGTGTTTGGACAGGAGAGAGGGGATGGGGGGTGCGTTGGACACCCCCGTGTGTGTGTGTATCGTACGTTCTCGAGGTAAATGAAAAAAAGAAGAGTACCCCAATCATTGCTGTCTAGTCCAGCCCAGTCCAGTTTTGTCAGTCTCGTAAGGTAAACGCAAACACTGTGCCTGAATGGAAAATTAAAAGAAGCATGCCTGGTGTCGTTGAATTGGGACTGCAGCCGTATGTCGATGGGGGAATAGAGCCTGGTCTGGGGATACTGGATGTTCACGGGACTGGCATCAGATCTGGAGAGGGGCTTCAGGGTTCGGTCGCTCTATGCCTCGCGGTGGGTCACTGACCCTCGGTCGAGACGAGATAAGAGGAGTCCCCGAGACCAACGGCCAAATAACGAGATAGGGCAGGGTTGACTTGTGAAGAGACTGTTGGGCTAGCGACACAGGCATGGACGAAATGTCGATGGACATGCAAAGTTCAGGCAATGGCGTCGGCTGTCAGTTCTTGTGGCGGGTGGCTTCAAGTTGCATTTGTTCCTCGTGTTCGTCGGTTGAATGATGCCGAATCGAGGCATAAATGAATCAAATGAAAAAAGAAGCCACGCTCGGACCCGGTGATCGACATCTTGTCCTCTCAACGCACTCACGATTTCGAGGACTCGCCATTCTATTTTATAAGTAATCCCCTCCCCTGTAAGTTTTAAATTTCCTCCTACTCGTCTAATCGTCTAAACTAATGGCGTCTGCCCCCTTTTCGCTCCAAGAATTCGGCAATCTCGTCGCTCTCGCACTAGACGCAGATCGCTTCTCCGAATCATTCCTCCTAGAAGAAGAAGGACTGGTTTTTCCACCTGAATCTGATCCCTGCGTCCCTGAGCTAGTGGCCGCCACCATCGCGCCCATACCCGAAGAGGCAACAGGCAAGGAAAAACTCGAGCTGGGTGCGGGTGCCCCGTCCACTGAAAATCCGTTCCCTTTTTCCCCACTCCACCCATTCTTCCCCTCCCCCACATCCCCCTCGCTCTCCATGAACTTTAGCACGAGCACGGGCACGGGCACGGGCACGAGCGCAAGTGCCCGGCGGGAGGAGAAGGGGAAGCCAGCGGTCGCTGGCCGTTTTTTACTCGACAAGATCAAACGCCACGTCCTCCGCGCCGCACCTACTGCACCCCCAGCGACGCCCGATTTTACTTATTCCACCCACTGCACGTCTGCACCCACTGTCGTTCCTCCACACCCACCCGCACAAACACTTGCACCACAGCCACAATCGCAACCACCGCGACAATCACTATCGCAATCACAATCACAGCCAGACCCCGACTCTACACATGTTCTCCACCCGTACTCGCACCCCACCCTCCTCTCTGGCTTTTTCGACTTCAACGATGAAGAGGACGCAGTCGAAGAAGAAGAGTTTGTCCCCTACGTCCCGCTCGCCTCTCGATACGAGCGTAATAGACTCTCTGAAGAGCGACGGGCGCGCGAGAAGCGACTTAGTGCCCAGCTCGACCTTGAAGAGCAGCTCGCACGGCGGGACAGGGAGAGGCCATCACGGCGGAGTGTATTCTCGCGACCCGTCTCCTCGCTGACGGACCCCCCGCCTTCCCCCAGCTGCTCCGTCTCGACCTCCGCCTCGTCCCATGCGCCCATTACACCCACCGCCGCCTTCTTCCCATACCCCGCCTACTCGCACTCCGAAACCTCCTCGAGCGTGGGCTCGTCCTCGTATGGATCATTCCCCAAGTCACCAAGCAGGGCATCCTTCCATTCTTCTGTCCAGTCCACCGCGAGTGCAAGTGGGGCTTCGTCCCATTTGTACCCGGCGCCTTCGGGCTCGTTCATACAATCCTCATACACATCCTCGTCGTCCTCAAGGAACTCACACTCGCACTCGCACTCGCACTCAACCTCCAACTCCTCTGCGTCAGACAGCCCGCGCCCCGCCTCTGCGTCTTCCACGTCCGACTCCAACTCCACATACGCCTCCGAGTCCTATCCGCAGTTCGCAGACCACCCCTTCGCGCGCAGCCAGGACGACCCCTTCGCTAAAGCCTCCGTCCAAGTCGTCTCCCGCCCGCCCGCCCGTCCTACTTCCACGCCTGTCGAGTTGAAGACCAAGAAGATGAGGCGTGGGTCGACTTCGCGCCCGGGTCCCCAAAACCCTCCGCCTGCGAGGCCTTTGCCGCCGCCACCGGTCTCTTCGGATGAAGGTGCCAGTACAGATGCAGGGGCAGGTGAAGGGATGAAAGAAGAAGCGGACCCTGTCCTCCCTGAAGAATGGACGCTCTGGCTCGGCACCACTTCCTTACCCTCCATCACCACCCTCCCCAACCCCTCCTCACCCGGCACCACCACCACCTCCAGAACCCGCCGCCCCTCCCCACCATCCTCCTACACAGCCCCAAACGCCCCCAAAACACGCACTTCAAAACGCAAACCCAAGCCTCTCCACCTCACCACCTCATCACTAATAACGAACGCCAAGAAAGATCCCAATGAAGATTGGACGCTCTCGTTGCCTTTCGTCAGGCCCCCCGCCCCGCCATCCTCGTGGTATGCACCTTCCAACCCAGGAGTAGGCGAACCGGGCCCGCCGTCCCCGCCCGCGCGGTTCCAGCGCGCGGACGCCCAGGCGCGTGGTAGGGCGCGTGTGGAAGTCGCCCCCGGGCGTACAGAACGCACTGGCCGAGCACCATCCGTTTCTGGATCCAGCGGGTCGTTGTCGTTGTCGTCGGGGTATAGTTCGGGCGGGTCGACGTATATGTCGTCGATGGGGTCGGTGTATGTGCCTGCTGGGGCTGGGGCTGGGGGGAGGGCGTTGTCGGTGTATAGGGCTGTGTCGGCGCGGTCGATCGCGCCTGCTTCTGTGCGGTCTTTTAGGTCTGGGTCTGGGTCTGTTACTAGCCTGAGCCTGGGCCCGAGCCCGAGTCTGAGTCCCAGCCAAGGTCGGAGTCGGAGTGAGAGTCAGACTCGGAGCGAGAGGACGGGGAGGGGTGCGTTGAAGCCGCCACGCACGGCGGACTCGGCGTTGTCTTCGACGTCGACGTCGTCGTCTACGCCTACGGTCGTCCCTGGCGCTGTGCAGAGACAGATGATGGGTATTGGTGCTGGGCCTGCATCTGCGTCTGGGGCGGATGTGGGTGCGGTTGGGGTGGCGGGAGTTGAGGAGGATGAGATGGACGCGGAGTCGATGGCGTCGGGGACGTATTATAGCGCGCGGTCGAGTTTTGCGCTGATCCCTTGAGTGTTGGTGAGTTTTTTTTTTGCTGCTTTTTGATTGTAGATTTTGGTTATCGCTGTGCTTGTACAACACCCACCTCCTTTCTGCCGTCGCGGCCCCTCTATTTATACGCGCCCGTCTTGGGTAGTGTCCCACTTTCCTTTTCCTTTTCCGTACCAGACCTTAACCTCTCGATAAAAAACCACGCTCATTATTGCATACTCTATATTCCTTATCCCTATTCGACACACCATACACCATACAATATAGTCCAACCCTCTAGATTCTCTCAAGACTCTAGACACCCCCCTCCCTCTCGTTTTTCGTCTCTCCGCTTGTCCTGCCGTGCCGCACGCTCTTTTACGCCCACTAGATCACTATAGATCCGTTCCCTCTCTCTCTCTCTTCGTCTGTCGCTCTCGCTTTCCACCCTGCATCTTGCATCTTGCATTCCGTATCCTGCATCTGTGCCAACCCCCCCCCCGCATCCTCGCATTATGCATTATGCATTACAGTACACAGCCCCCGGCCCCTCGAACCCAGAAAGAAGAAGAAAGAAAGAAGGAAAGAAGGAAAGAGAGAAAGAGAGAGATACTCTGACTCGAACTCGACTCCGACCGGACTCTGTATACCACGTATTTTTTTTTCCTTTTTTTTTGCGTATCTCGTACTTAAAGCTCGTATAACCCTTATATCCCCTATATCCCCTATAACAAGATCGAAAAAAAGAAGTACAGTGGATATTTTGCGATTGATGCTGATACTATAGTAGTTGTTACCCGCCTCTTCCCTCTCCTCTCTCCCCCCCCTTCCCGCTCCGCGTTGAGACTTTTGAGACTTTTTTTCTTCTTGTTCACCGTAGTTGGGTTTTTGCTGGTTGTCCCACACCCTCCCTCCCCCCCTTCTTTTTCTCTTTTCTGTGTTGGTGATTTTGGTGTTTTTCTGGTTATTATAGCGTTATATATATACATCCCTTCTTACCTTGTTTTTTTTCAACGTTCGTACTTTTATTGGTATTTACTTGTTTATTCCTTCATTTGCGTTTTTTTAATCGAGAATTAATTTATCTTCCCCGTTTGTCTCCTCATAGATCTTCTCGTTCTGATATCGTTAGCGCATTTTACTTTTGGTGGATAGAACGTCTGACTTTGAACGTCGGTTATTTTCCCGTCCCCTGCACATAATGAATGGTTGACATTGCTGCCTCCTGATCTAGTGTCGCTAATTTTCATGGGATTTGCGGCAGCTTGGGGGTTCAATTCCCCATACTTGAAATTCTGCTTTTTTCTTTTGTCTGTGTGGTCAGGACAAGTATTTCTGTCGGCTTCAGTCGGGGGTGCCAGTGTAGGGGCGAAACAAAGAGGGAATTCTT